CAGTGATTCCACTTACGTGAGATACTTAGAGAAGCTAAACTCATAGATTCTGAAAGAGGAATGGTGTTGCCAGGGGCTGGGAGAAGGGATGAATGGGGAGTTATTGTTTAATGAGTATAGTTTCAGTTTTGCAAGATGAAAAGAGTTCTGGAGATGGCTGCACAATGAGACAGTGTACCTACTTAATACCACTGGACCGTATGCTTAAAAATGGTTAAAATGGTAAATTTTCTGTTATGTGTATTTTACCATAATAAAAAAAATTGTTGAATTAAGAAAGAACCTCATGAATTAAGAAAGAAAAATAAAGGGTTAGGAAGGAACAGGAATGGAGAACTCTTTCATTCACTCATTCATTCATTGAACACATAACTACTGATTGCCAGCTATGTAGCAGGTGCTGTGCTAGATAATGAGATACTACCTTGAGCAAAGCAGACATGGTGTCTGTAGTCCTAAAGCATAGTTTCAGTCAGTCTACCACAAAATGTTCTCATAATTTAAAATTTACTTGTGAAAAAAAAGAGAGAGAGAAAGAGAGATTACCTGAAAGAAAATTATAACCCATACAGATGATTTCAAATGGGGGAAATTGTGTGTGTGTGTGTGTGTGTGTGTGTGTGTGCATTTATAATACATAATATATTTATATACAATTATATATATTGTAAGATTTTATTTATATGAAATTATTCTATGTATAATTTTCCATCATCTTGCTCAGGAACCAAAAATTAGAGGTGCCTCTAATCTCCCCACCCCAATAAAGGTCCCTAAGGAAGCTTTACACAACCTCATGTTCTCCAGGGAGCCCAGCACAAAGTGGGTAAACCACTGCTTAAGCATAAAGCCATGATAACTGTTTAAAGAAAAAAGCTTCTAGGGGTGCCTGGGTGGCTCAGTCAGTTTAGTGTCTGACTCTTGATCTCAGCTTAGGTCTTGATCTCAGGGTGTGAGTTCAAGCCCCACCCCAAGTGTGGAGCCCACTTAATTAAAAAAAAAGAAAAGAAAAAAGCTCTGAAAGAAGATAAAAATGTTGACTTTTGTGAATTATATATGTTAACTCTGTGTAAACGAATATGAGACTAGATTGTGGTTATGGGTTAGAGAGAGAAAACATAAGGCTAGCAGGTCTTGGTGGCATGGTGGTGGGCAGGGGGCCCACACCATGTGTGGAAAGACCAAAAATAGGAGATTGCCCATATGCCTTTTATTTCCCTCTCTATTCATTTTGGCCTCTAATTTTTTTTTAATCCTTTTTTTTTTTTTTTTTTTAAGTAGGCTCCATGTCCCATGTGGGTCTTGAACTCACGAGCCTGAGATCAAGAGTCACATGCTCTACCAACTAAGCCAGCCGGGGGCCCCTTGGCCTCTTGTTTTTGATAGCTGAATTAGAAGATCAATTTTAGTCCATCTAAGGACATTACCTTAAAGAACAGCTGCATTGTTTTCTTTTTTTTCTTAAGATTTTATTTATTTATTTGAAAGAGAGAGAGAGTGAGAGAGAACATGAAAGGGGAGGAGCAGACACCGTGTGGATCCAGGAGCCCGATGTGGGTGGGACTCGATCCCGGGATCTTGACCTGAGCCGAAGGCACTGGCCCAACCAACTGAGCCACCCAGGCGTCCTGCAGTGTTTTCAATTAAGCAATAGAACGTGAATGTTCTATTCCTAAACTTTTTTCTTTTTTAACTTTTTTACTTAGAGAAATTAACTTTAAAAGACATCTTTCTTTAAATATTTTTAATTCAATTAACATATAATGTATTATTGGTTTCAGAGTTAGAGGTCAGTGATTGATCAGTCTTATGCAATACCCAGTGCTCATGATGTCATGTGCCCTCCTCAATGTCCATTACCCAGTTACCCTATCTCCCCACCAGCAGCCCTGAGTTTGTTTTCTATTCCTAGATTTCTGATCAGATTAATTTTTCACAAGAGAATAGACTTTCAGTTCAGTATGAATTGATTATGGGCCCTGATATAAAAATGGTATTGTGTGAGGCCTTAGGGAGAGTACAAAGATGAGTAAGACACATGCTTGCCCTGAAGAAGCTTATAGCATATAATGGTAAATAAGAATAATATGCCAATAACTATAGTGAAAAGGAGAATATCTGTGCTAATCTTGAGGGTAGGAACTGTTTCATGCTCACTTTCCTAATGCCTATTCCCATACCTGGCACAGAATAGGCATGCAGTAAATATTTATTGAATTGGACGGCATTGTCCAATAGGTAGCCGGTGGCCACGTGGTACTATTTAAATTTAAATTGACTAAACGGAATAAAATTAAAATTTCATTTCCTTAGTCATTGGCCACATTCAGTGTGATTAGTGGCTACTTTACTAGAACAGCACAGATTGAAGAATATCGCAGAAAGTTCTGCCGTAACAGATCAGGAAGAGGAAGTTTCCAAAGCTCCCCGGGGAGGATGACAGGAAAGGCGGAAGAACAGCGTTTGAGAGATCACAGAGAGGCAGGCAGAGGGAGGGGAGAAGCAGACTCCCTGCTGAGCAGAGAGCCTGATGTGGGGCTTGATTCAGGGCTCCATCCCAGGACCTTGAGATCATGACCTGAGCTGAAGGCAGAGGCTTAACCCATTGAGCCACCCAGGCACCCCTGAATGGGTAGGATTTTAACAGGAGACGATGGAAGAAGGATTAGCCTAGAGATGATGAACAGCAGGGGAAAACAAGGAAGGGCTGGAAAGGACAGGGTATTTGAGTCATCCCTGTGGATGGAGCTTTTAGAGGAAAGAAGTGAAAACGATGCAGTGTGGGGTTGAGTGGGTTAGGCCTAGCTTTATTCTCTTTATCTACATCTTTCTTTTGCTGCACAGTTGAGACCCCCTGCATCAGGCCCATTTTAAAATGAGAGACCCTTAAATGGCCTTCAGACCAACACTCTGGTATTCAACATCAGCACCTCTCTTCCTCGTCTAACCTGTAGGATGTACCTCAGTTCTCCTACCTAGCCATCTGCTTTAAACCCAGTCCCCTGATGGTGTCAAGTTTATCTAAATGGACATCTCTAGGCCCTTGCTCTGTCCCTTGCCAATCCTCTCTCAGCTGCTAGGTTTGCTCTTGACAACCTTTATATCCTCACCTCCCCAACCCCACATTCCATGAAGCCCCTATTGCTAAACTCTAAACATTCACGGCTTCCTGGTGCCAAATGTTTGTGCAGACATTTGGGTATAATCCACCCACATGCTGGAATGGCCTGATGTTTCATTTTGTACACTATGTAGACATCACTCTCACCCTTGAGCACTGTGCCTTCCCTGGGAGTATCTACAGCTGGATTAGTTTGCCCAGTGCCTGCCCTGTGCAGATAGATGTTGGTCCCTTCCTGAAAATACACCTTGCTAAAATAAAGGCCATACCTGTCCAAACTTGGAATCAGTGACAGTGGTCATTAGTGGGGAGCCTTAAATGCCAAAGCCAAGGTGTTTGTACTCAGTAGGGAGAGGCTTTTGAGCCAGCAGGATCACACAGTCAGTGATGGATTAAAATGATGCCATGTGTGTGACGGGCCAGAGAGGAATATTTGGGTGGGATATACCAATTTCCTTGGGCTTTCCATGTGGACTCCCATTTCCATGTTCATAATCATTTTGGGTGTCATTTCAATGCCTTTCTCTCAATTCTCCACAGTCCTCTGAAGTTTTGGAGTCAGAACCTGAATGTTCTATTCCTAACAGGCTGTATCCAGTAAAAGTCTAAAAAGATTTAGACTTGGTAGCACAACATCATTGTTACCTGTTTCAGTGTTATGGGACATTCGACATACTATTCTATACAGCTAATATGCCCTCTGATTAGGGTGATCAACCATCCCAGTGTATTTGGGACAGTCCTAGGTTTTGTACTGAAAGTCCCATATCCTGTGAACTTCCGCAGTCCTAGGCCAATTGGGACAGTTGGCCACCCAGATCTGGGCAAACCCACATGGTTGGTCATCCTACATGTGAAGCACTTAGAATCTAAGAAATGGCCAGGACTGTCTTGTATGTTGGGGAAGCTTGCACTTTGCAGCTGCTCAGTAATGATACCACTGGCCAGAATTAGGATACAACACAGAGCCATCAACATGAGCTCGACCCAAGGCAGGGCTCACCCTCTCCCTTAGGCCTCATTAGTGACACAGCAGTACTCACTGGGGCTTCTGAATTCCTTCACCTGAAACTGAATATGAAATGGAGTAAGTCTTTACAGAGTAAGTCTGTAACTTGCTGCATGAGCGCTAGGTTGCTTTGACTCCCCAAGAACCACCTTTTTAAAAATAACAGCCCTACACTCAAAAGTCACTTTTTTTCATTTTTACTTTTGTTGTAGGGATACCTGAAGGTAAGACTTCTTGAAATCTACTCTTCCATCTCACAGTCCGTACTCATGCATCTTGCATGCCAGAAGCTTCCTCTCTAATTATCTGTCTTTGACTTGACAACCCAACCCATCTCAGGTACTGTCTTTTGCTACCATTGTCTTCTTACCCCATTTCCCTGCAACACACATACACAGTACTGATTAAATCACAATATTTAAAGTACTGAGTCATGACAGCATCAATATTCTAAAATACAGCTTCCATCAGGGCACTGGGTGGCCTAGTCAGTTAAGAGTCTGACTCTTGGTTTCGACTTGGGGCTCTGTACTCAGCGGGGAGTCTGCTGGAGGATCGTCTCTCCCTCTATGCTCTTCCCTCCCCCTACATGCTCTCTCTGCCCCCCCAAAACAAAATAAAATGCAGCCCTGAATACAAGACATTTATTTGTATTTTACTTTATGCTTGATTATACTGCATCAGATAAACAGGTAGAACAAGTTTCAAAGATTAAAAACACAACACCTACTTTCCAGAAAAGCCGTTTCAGAATGAAGTTTTTCTGGGCTGCTACTTTAAGTTCTGTAATCAAGCAAAGTATCTTCCTTAAAGTATTGTCTTTAAGAAAAAGTTCAGATTTCAGTTGACTGAAGTGCTTTATTTTCTCCTCAGATCTACAGAAACACAAGAAAAATATTTCCATGTGAAAAATGATCAGAAACAGCAGTTGAGGAATATCAGCGATTATTGACAGGTTTGTAAAACTTTGTTACTAATGGAATTTTAATTAGTTTTGTGCTTTTGCCTTTATCACTCTTTAGTAATGAGCCTTGCTTTCCCCAGATTGAAATATTTGTTACTCCTGCTGGACATTCTTTTCCCCATGCTCCTTTACTCAAGCGGTATCCAGCCCATCAGGAGTACTCTCAGTGTCCCTCGGAAACTGTCGTCCCTCTTTCATCACCTAGCCCACAGTTTGTTCACATACCATTTACCATACTTCATGAACCATGTATAATATTATTTGCTTCATATTTTTTCTTTAAATCAACTCACTTTGTGTGTGGGTGTAGAGAAGTTTATTTATGTAAGATTTTCTTTATTTGAGAGAGAGAACAAGCACGTGCACTCCTACATGGGAGCAGAGGGAGGGGCAGAGAGAGGGAGAGAATCTCACACAGACTCTGCACAGAGCACAGAGCCCCACCAGGGGCCTGATCTCATGACCCTGAGATCATGACTGGAGCTGAAACCAAGAGTCGGACACCTAACCGACTGAGCCACCCAGGCAACCCGAGAAGTTCATTTATATAAAGAAAACTTTATATCACGGCCTTACAGGGAGAACCAGTATCAATTGCATTAATAGCAGGTAACTGTGAAAGTAGCATGAAAGCATCACAAGTTCTAAGTTGATGCACGCATTCCAAACCTGAGGCTCTCTGTCTTTGATAGAAAGGCCGATGAGCATGAGTTAGACAGCTGCCATTTCTGGCACCAAGCAGAGGGCTTCTCCCTAATGAGATTGGACTACTTGGAAAAGGAATCACCTTTCCACGATGGAATTCAAAGTTATTTCTTGCCATGTCCGAGTATCAAATGCATTCATCTCTTGTCACTGACCAGTGTGTGTTCCATAGTTCAGGAAAAGCTGGCTTTGCTGAAAAGAGGAACACCTTCCCCTTACAGCTTTCCCTAATTCCACCGTGAATGGGGAACCTCTCCTATAGCACTTTTTCCACACTTCTTATATATCACACTAATTCTGTTTTGCCCCATTGTTGTAATTTGTGTACCTGTCCTGGGCACTTTTCATGGACTAGCTCGTTCAGTCCCACTCAGGGGTTAGAGCTGGGAATTACTGTTGCATTTATAGGATGTTAGACAGGTTAAGTAACATGTCCAAGTTCAGACTGGCTCAGTCATGACCTTGATTTCAGGGTCATGAGTTCAAGCCCCACGTTCGGCATGGAGCTTACTTCAAAAAAAAAAAAAAAAAAAAAAAGAAAGAAAAAGAAAAAGAAAGGGTGTGAAGTAATGCTAGGAGAGGCATTTCATGTTCTATGTAGGTGATGGAAACTTCTAGAATTTCTGACTTGAATTAAAAATATTTTTACCACCTACTCCATAAATCTTGATACCAACCATTTATCCTAATTCTACTATATGGAATCTTAGCTCTTGCCCACTATCTCCCCTGTGTTTAAAAAAAAAAATCTAGGATGTTCTCTATCCAATCAATGAGCCTCCTTTTTTTTTTTTTTTAAGATTTTATTTATTTGTCAGAGACAGAGAGAACACAAGCAGGGGGAGTGGCAGGCAAAAGAAAAAGCAAACTCCCCACTGAGCAAGGAGCCTAGCGCTGGACTGGATCCCAGAATCCTGAGATCATGACCTGAGCCAAAGTTAGATGCTTAACTTACTGAGCCACTCAGACATCCCAATGAGCCTCTATTATTAACAAAAACATTAAGACTTCCCCCAAAACAGCCTCTTTTCTAGTGGAGAACATGGAAGAGAAATAATCATCAAGAATTCAGTGACAGAAGTCACAGAGGCAAGGGGTGCCTGGGTGGCTCAGTTGGTTTTATCGTCTGCCTTTGGCTCAGGTCATGATCCCAGGGTCCTGAGATGGAGCCCCCACATCGGGCTCCCTGCTCATATAGGAGCCTGCTTCTCCCTCTCTCTCTGCCTTCCCCCAGCTTGTGTGCTCTCTCTCTCTCTTATTCTGCTCTCTCAAATAAATAAATGAGACATTTTTTAAAAAGTCACGGAGGCAGAAGAACACGATTATAAACATGGGGATTAGATCTGTCTCTACTCAGCTGAGTAATTACCAAGGGCAAATTACCCAGTCTCTCTGTGCCTCAGTTTCCTCATCTGTAAAATGGGGAGTCCCACTGTTTTGATACTTTAGTCTGTACTTAGCACACAGTAAGTATTTAATAAATGGTTTCTAAATAAAATAGGAATGGGCTTTGAGATCCTGCTTCCCTATACATCCACTTCTAATTACAATCACATTTCATTAAAAAAATAACTATAAAATTCCTCTATTCTCTGAGAACTGCAAAAATAGCAGGAATGTAGTTTTCACAAACTGATGAGCTTAGAAAAGCACAAGCTTGGAAAGAATACCAGCTGAATTACTTTCAAATTGGCTTTCCTATTTTTCCCATTCATCAGCAATTTGCTGTGATCCATATAGAAACAGTTTTTATCTTGTGGCACCTATGATAACAGACTGTAATAACAAACTTTTCTTTCAAAAAAAACAAAACAAGGGTGCCTGCATGGCTCAGTCAGTTAAGCATCTGACTTCGGTTAGGTCAAGGTCTCAGGATCCAGGGATGGAGCCTGCAGTGGGCTCCGTATTAATCAAGGAGTCTGCTTGTCCCTCTGCCCCTCCCCCCCAAGTAAATAAATAAAATCTTTATAAATAAATAAATAAATAAATGGAATTTCATAAGAAAAAGCACACCTCCACCTCCTTATACTAAAAATCAATTCATATGTGAATTGAGGGCTCATATACATCATAAATACAAGTTAGATTCAGCAGTCTGTATTTCTATAGAGTCACAGTTTTTTTTTTTATCTTTCAGAGAACATTTGTCTTTACGTAGATGATAAACTTTATTTGACTAATTTAAATAATAAAAAGTCTTGTGCCAGAAGACTCCCTTATTTAATTTCAGAACAGTGGGAGATTTTTCATTAATTTTAACATATATTTTATATTTTCATCAGCTAGAAAACATAAATTCACCCAAATAGTGTGGCAAGAAGGATTCTTCATCTAATGATAAGCTGTTTTTCCTGTATTTTTTTTCATTTTTGTGGATATTTTATATAAATAATACATCTGTATAATGCTTTACAGCTGGAAAGGGTTTATCATAGATTATCTCAAAAGCACTGTGTGTATGTTCACAGGGGTCTCTATAAATCCATGTGAGGTTACAGAACTCATATTTGTAACAGTTCCAGTTTGCAAACCCAAAGAGTATATATTTACTCCCCTTAAACTTAAGGTACCTTGCAGGCAGAGAACTCTCTTGTATATCTTATACATATTACCACATTCCTCACAGTGCATTTTAAATTACTTCATTTTAATATGTTGCCTTTAGGAATTAGCTTTGCAAGAAATTGCTTTCCCTGAGTCAAGCTAGTGGTAGAACTCTCCTCACCTTCAATGACAAATTTCAAGTCACGCATATACAAAGTTAACGCCTATTTTATTATCCAGTTAGTTTTAAAATCACTTTAAATAAGGACTGAAATTAAAACTGATACTTTTTTAAAGTAAACATACGAAAACATATAGGAATTCTTTTTTTAAAACATGTAGAGGGACACCTGGGTAGCTCAGTCGGTTAAGCATCTGCCTTCGGCTCAGGTCATGATCTCAGAGTCCTGGGATAGAGTCCTGCATCAGGCTCCTTGCTCAGTGGGGAACCTGCTTCTCCCTCCACTTGCCTCTCCTCCTGCTTGTGCTCTCTCTCTCTGACAAATAAATAAAATCTTTTTAAAAAATGTAGAAATTCTAAGCCATCCATATTACCATCTTTAAAAAAAAGGAAATCACAAACATTGTTATTTAACCCCTACAAACCTCAGAACACATCACAAGACAAACATTTCTTACAAGATCATCATTATCACATCCAACAAAATTATCGGTAATTTTTTGCTATTGGCTAATACCCAGTCCATACTCAAACGTCCTCTATTGCCTTAGAAATGTCTTTTTACTTTTGGTTTGTTAAAATCAAGATATAAATAAGATACTTGTTATATTTGTTTATTATGTTTCTTAATTAAGCCTTTTAAAACCTTTTCTTATGGAAATTTTTAAACATATACAAAAATGGAGAAAACTGAAAAGAAACACTATGTATCTGTCTCCTAGATCCAATAATCTTCAACATTTTTCCAGTCTTGTTTTATCTATTCCCTTACTTACACACACATATATGCACACACACACGTGTTTTAAAATAAAAATAAAATATACATAATATAAAATTTACCACTGTAACCATTTTCAGGTGTGCAATTCAGTGGTATTAAGTGCATTCACAGTGTTTTGCAACCATCACTACTGTACTCTCCATTTCCAGAACTTTTTCATCTTCCCAAACAGAAACTCTATACTGATTAACTATAGGTCCCCATTCCCCTCTCCCTTCAGCCCTAGTAACCTCTATTTTATTTTTTGTTTCTATGGATTTGCCTATTCTCAATGCCTCAAATAAGTGGAATCATACAATAATTGTCCTTTTGGTCTAGCTTATTTCACTTAGCATAATTTCTTCAAGGTTTGTCCATGTTGTCACACGTGTCAAAACGTCATTCCTCTTCAAGGCTAACAGGCCCACACTTTTAAGTCAGATTCAGGTTTAATTGTTTTAACAATTTATTCATTCATTCTATAAAGGCAGCCTACTATGTGTCAGTGACCAATGTACAGTCCCGGCCCTTAAGGAGCATCGTATATAATAGGGCAGCACACAATCAAAAAAGCAATCGTAAGAGAAACTGTTAAATGCTACAAGATCGTAAGCACAGGATATTATGGAGGAGCCTCTCTCTCTTTTTTATTTTTAATTTTTAATAGATTTTATTTACTTAGAGAGTAGGGAACAGGGAGAGCAGCAGGCAGAGGGAGAGGGAGAAGCAGACTTCCCACTGAGCAGGGAGCCCTACACAGGGCTCAGTCCCAGGACCCTGAGACCATGACCTGAGCCA